TGACGTCATTAGTAGAGGTGAATCGAGACAAAAATAAAAAAAATTGCAGAAATTTGATCACTAGATCCCAAAAATTGTATTTAGGTTGTAGCAAATTTCGTCAATTAACTGACGATTTTTAAAGATGATTGCCCACGAGTTGAACACGAGACAAGACTAAGCAAAGCCTTCTGGTCATCTGATTTGTCTCCAATTTCATTTTTATAGTATTTTGCTTTGGTATTATGGATCATGTGGTTAATAAATGCATATATTGATTTCAAGTCTATCTGAGAGGTATTTCAGGTGAAGTCATCAAACTAGTCTCTTTGCATCTGAATACACTGTAGTGATAAAACGCTTCTTGAATGGTCTTTGACGAGTAGCCCCGTTGGATGAGAATTATATTGCGATACTACTGTAGTCACATTTGATTCAATTTGATTAATTGCTCTATACCTGCATCCTTTCTATTATATAACAATGTCTAAATGGTTGTATTATAACGAAATATGATTTTAAAAAACTGGAAAACCTTTAGTTAATATTTCATTTCTTGTTCCAATATCATGTTTATATTTGTTGAAATTTCAAACAATATTTAAAATATATAAATAAACTATTAAATAAATCTGTCAATAACTGAAATGTTATCGCATTTTCATCTTCTGGCAGAAGAATGAGATTATCAGAATATTAATAAAATATTAAAATAACAATATCATAAACATAAAATAACAATTCCAAAACATGGATTAATAATTAGATGTTTCGAAAATAAGAATATGGCTAAATATCACCCAAACCATCAGTGTAACAAAATAAGGCGACAAATATTTAGAAACAACTAATCAAGATTAATTAATACGTGATTAGGGGAAATATTTTGGACAATTTCGAGCACATTTATTTGTTCACCATTTTCATGTCACAACGACCACGTTTTTTTATTATTGCTAATATATTATAATACAGTGATATACCAGGCATTAGTGAAAGTGTATCAAGCTTTCTCATTAATGTATATTAAGAATTAATTTGTATTCATGTTATATTTTGCAGAATAATTTGAAATTTGATTTATTGGAAATATGTTTAAATTTCTGCTGCAACATAACTTTATATATTTTTTTCATTTCCAAACTTCACTTGTTTACCAGCATGGCTTCTTTAGGATCATGATCTACACAATAAAATTACTATTTCAATACGCAACTTCAAAGTTTTAGCCAATATTCCTCCCTGACTACGTGAGCTATTGTATTGTTGTTGTTTTTTTCAAATAAAAGAATACAATTTCAAAAGCTTGTAGTTTTTGAAAATGACCGCTTACATAGGTTTATCAGCATACCCTAAACTATGTCTACATGGTCCCTCTTTCAAATAAATAGGTGCAATATTATTCGACGTAGACCCATGACCCATGAACTAAAGCGGCTATGATTGGTTGAATGTTAAGAAGAAGTTAAATCATTGACATGCGATTGGTTAGTGAAACTTTGGAAGTTTACGTCAGCGACTTCTGAGTGTATAACTTTACATACTTTCACTGAGAAATAAAAGAAAGAAAGAGTTTGTGTTGAATGGGGCGTTGGCTTCGGCCACTGCTCTGCTCGTAAATTATATTAGATTGAACCTATAGAGTTGCGTATAGTTATTGGAGTGAACTAGATGTATTCTCGAGAAATATTCCCCGAGGTAGAGACAATGAAGA